TAATGCACCTAAGTAGGGTCACATAGAGAGAAAACATTCTCTCAGGCTTTCACAGAGAGCAAATCGGTGAAGCACTGGCCATGAGTCATCCACATGGCTGACACTGACAAAGGATCTACAATCTGAGGTACAGGATCTCAGGATAAATCCTGAGAGGATTTGACTGACCTTATTAGATTCAAAAGCTACAATTCTTGTTACATAGGTCTTGCTTTATCTTGGTCTTAACCATCCAGCAGAAAATATAAAACGAAGTATAAGAAATAAAGCCATGTTGCAATGTTGAGCTGTAGGGGACTAAGCTCAACAACTTCTGACACTGCCCGTCAAGCAGAAGACCCAATACTATTATGGACTATTGGACTATTTTGGAATGTTTTGCTGAGTTCACTCACCTATAATATTTAAATGACAGAACTAAACAAAAAAAAAGGGATACAGATGAATGTCCATTTTATATCTGTGTATTCCAAATGGTTAGGATAGATATACAGCTACATTCTCTTAATTCAATGAATAGAGTGATTTGTTCTAATAGTGTTTGTAAGTAGGATATCATGTCCACATCTTGTACAACAAATAACCACTAGGAAGACAGCACGTAATGTGTTAATTATTGAAATTGTCCTACCAATTTAATTTGAAACAGTCTCATTGCAATTTTTTCTCAATAAAATTATGGAAAATGTAAGATAAAATAAAATTCTGCACTAAAAAGAATCACATCTCTATAACAGTACCTGTTCAGCTTGATTTATAATAATTGTTCCATTTCTTTGAGTTGAAACTAGTTACATAGGAAATCCATCTAGGCATATCTGTGTATTGTTTTTGTACCTACAACCCTTCATGGCTGGCACCATGAAACTCATATTTCTTACCTTTCTATAAGGTATGGGCATGACGTATGTCCTTGTTTAAAACTCTGTAAGGTGTCTTTGTGAAACACAATTAAATATATTTTAAGCTCGCCTTGTTAGGAAACTTATCACATGTATTTTTGTGAAAGTATTATAAAGAACGCTTAATGAACTCAAAGGATTCTGATAATATAAAGTTCATTGAAATTTCCCCTTTGCTGCAGAACTACTATTGAAGGCCACTGCTGCTACTGAGGCAGTATGCTAGTTTCCAAATTGTAAAAATTTCAGCTTCTGCAGTTTTCTGTCATTATGGAGTCTGTGATCCTTTTCTTTATGAAATACAGCCTAAACATTTACATGTGAGACTTAAAAATAATTTGGCCATGCTACTCTTTGGTCTAAACTGCTATTCAAACCCAACTTTTCCCCCCTAATCTGAGTATATTTCTAGAACATCTTTGTGACAGCCATGTGGAAAGAAAGTGTGGAGCCTTAAAGGAGATTGGAAAAAGAAAAAAAGAAAGTTTGAAAGGATATAGTTGACAGGAATCCATGGCAATATTCAGTGACCCATACCCTTCATGTGTGCGGGGGTGAGACTTGTAAATATGATATTTCATTCTCAAAGATTGGAGAAGGTGGCACATTTGAGAAGAATAAAATGACTTTTCCTTTGGTGGAGAAGATCTAATCAGGTGATCCCTAACCAGAGATGGAATTCTTCTAGATAGAGAAATTTGAAGATTCTGTTTCTGGCTTTGAGGATAAATGGGGCCACCTAAGAGAATTTGGGCAGCCCTCTGAAGCTATCCACAGCAACAGTTGACAGTGGTTACAAAGGAGACCTTAGCTGGCCATCATTAGACAGGAATCTAGCCCTCTAAACCAAGTAACTACATTAAACCAACAGCCTAAATGATTTTGGAAGTGGATTATTTCCTGAACGATACAGAAATATACCATAGCACAAGATTTTATCATTGTATGAACCTAAGCAGAGAATTCACGTGTATTCTCCCTGGATTTTGACACATTCAATCTCTTCTTATTTTGAAGTCTTTGTGTAGTTCACAGTCACAAAGGAAGTGAGGCAGAAAAAAAAAGGAAAGAAAATCCAGTCAGTTAAAAGCTCTCACAGGTTCCTAAATGAATCTAGAGTGTTAAACCTGATAAACTATATGAAGTTTAACATTAACTATAGACTCTTCTACCAAAAATAATTTTTTTGAAGTTCAGAAGACCCAGATTTGAATCTTGCCTTTATTTACTAACAGGTAGGGTCTTAACTATTTGAGTTCAAATTTCTTTATTTTAAAATTATTCTTAATTATTAGAATAACAGGAATGTAAAAATAAATTGGAAGCTTTTATAGAGCCTGCTCATGAAAATAATATAATCAATAACTGTTACTCTGAAAACATTCTCCCTCTCAGTATTGATCATTATTTGGATAATAAGATCAAAGTGTGTCTATTAATACACCATCTAGTTTTTACCCGAAAGATCAATAAAAACAGATGAACAAAGTTCCTGTATTCCCATTCCCTTCAGAGAGTGGCAGATAACCTTGTTACATCTTGAAACTATTCAGAATGAAAGATACTAGAATTTGGAAGTCCTCAATATTGACAAATATCCTAAATAGAATCATATTAAATTGCTATCTAGGCTGTAATGAAGACCACCGAGCTTGTAATTTAATAGATAAATGTGAATTTCTCTCAAGCATGAGGACTAATCAGTTATAAAATTCTTAAACTGAGGTACATATGTGACTCAATTTCATGACATTAACCCCAGGTGCACAAATATAATAAAGGCTTTGTGCTTTAAATGACCAATGCATCCTTTAATATTAGAGGGCTGCAAGGAAATTTTCTCTTGCTTAGCTGCTTTTCTTACTTTTGTACGTATTTGTAAATATCTTGTGTTCCTAATATTCTTGATTAAAATAGACAAAGGAGTTGGAAGAAAAACTCAATATTGAAACATAAAGTGATAGCCTGACATAAGAATTTTTTTTTCTTACCACTCTAAGTCATGGGACTGGAAAATAGTTTTCCACAAGGTTAAAAAACGGCACCAGCTAAAATCTTCAGAATTTTTGTGTGCTGTGCAAGGCACTCTTTCATCTCACGATAGCATTGAAAGCACTGAAATACCTGGACCAAGTCACGGGAGCGTGATGGTGTAATACCCAGTAAAGCAATATATAGTTAGCTTCTGATTAGTATTTTTTCCTTTTTGTACAAGTATGCTATGAGAGTGTATAAAAGAGAAAATAATGACAAAAATGTATTATTTTTTTAAAAACTTATAAATGAGATTTGGTTTGACCTCAGGAAAAAAAATGCATGTATTTTGTGTTTAAACATCTGTCTTATCTGTTTGCAAAATTTTTCCCTCCCAGAGTAGATGTCAATGGTAACAAAACAATGATGGAGAGTAGCTGAGTGTCTGCAAACTTGTCTGCCTGGATTTCCACCGTGGTTCCCCTACACACCAGCTGTGTGACCTTGAGCCACGGTCTACCTCAATGTAGTAGACTTAGGAGACAATAATTATGATATATATCTCTTAATGGTTGAGAGAATTCAAGACTTAAAAAAAGGAAAGTATATAGATTTGTGCTGTGTCTCTTTCTGTTATTACTAAGCACTCAATACTACAACAAGTACAATGCAATGTCCTAAATGAAAGTGTCCATGGATATTTTCACCTGAAGGTTCAAGTTCATAACTATTACCAACTTTATCTATTAACTAAGATTTTAAAAATAATGTAATCCTCAGAGAAAAAAATCAGCAAGGACTTTGGGTCTCTGGCAATAGACAAATTTATTAGCTCATTTAGACTCTTGAAAACAAATTTCCATTTTTCGTTTCATTTCAACCATTGCCAGTAGATATTCAGTTTGATGCTATCTAAAATTTGCTTCCAATTAAAGGGGTACCTCTCTTTTCCAACAGTTAATTTGATGTTGCTGAGGGGAGTGTTGTGATTTGCTTTGTATAGAATTCAATAATAAAAACAGCAACTTTGTATTTTTTAATGAAGAACTGTTATGTTCATCAATTTGAACTTCTTTTTTCATTTAACATGTGTAATGGCAGTAATATAAACCTCAGTTATCTTCTTTAATCTATAGATAAGAGAACTGAGGCTTGAAGAGGATTTAGAAAACTGTCTCTTGTCATGAACTGTCTGTCAACATACATACAACAGCACCAGATCACAGCTGTGGTCAGTGTCAAAACAATGGTTCAATACCCTCACTTTATGCCCTGACATGTTTATCTCAGTAAGGTTCTATTTGTTGAGTAGTTTCTTGAATAATACTTTCAAAATAATTTATTTGAAAGTAGAAATGCTTGGATGCAGTAGATGAAGTTGAAGAGTGTTTGTGTTTCCTCAGGTTTTATTTTTATTTTTACTTTTTTTTGCAGAACCAGGGATTGAACTCAGGCCCTTGTGCTTGCCAGGGAAGCACTTATTCCACTGAGCCATCTCCCTGGCCTTCCTCAGGTTTTATGAGCATACATTCTAGGACCCAAGAACACTTCTATGATGGTTTATATAGAGGTGTTCAAGTGCTCATAGGTGGGTCCTTGGGGAGAAGACTGGGGCATGGATGTGTGATACTGGATTTGTCCACTGTCTGGTTTATAGCTGGGTGTGAGGTTGGGAAGGGAAGCTTGGTGGGAGGGTTGAGTCACTGTGGGTGTGGCCTGGAAGGACACATACATTTAACTTATAATGTATTTCACGTATGTGTGTATTGTTCCCTCTTGCCTTGATTTCTGCTGCTTCTTCCCTGACAAGCTACATATTGCTTCTCCTCTGCCATGCTGCTTTACCCCAGATCCAGTCAATTTTGGAGTGAAACCTCTATATATA